AGGGAGTAGATTGCTTTTGTAATAAGTATAAGGGAAAACGGAAATATGTGTGTGTGTGTTTTAAAGGAACAAGTTTGGGAGGAAATAATGTAGCTATAACCTTCCTTCTTTTCTTTCAGGGCAATGGAGATGCCCCAGCCTCCCTTGCAATTAGAAGTTGTCATGTGACTGAGTCCTGACCAATAGAATGTGAGCAGGAGTGAGAGCCCAGTCCATAAAACCCAGCTACTCCAAATCCTCCAAGCTCTTTCCTCTTAAAGCAGAGAAGCACAGCAACCTTGCAAACCAGGTGTGAGGAAGAGAAAAACCTTGAAATGGAAGGCTCCCAAGTCTGTGAACCACTTTTTGCAACAGAACTTACCAATCAGAACTTTACACAAGAAAAAAACAAACTTCTTGTGTGTCAAACTCCCAAATCTGAAGGACTTATCTGCTACAGCATCTACTATTACCTTGTCTAACTAATTCAGTAAAAAAAAAAATTAGATACAAATTGAAGACCAGATCACAGTGAGTTTCTAACTCATTCCACTTAATGTCAGCAGCTATTATTTGAATCATAAAAATTACAAGTGCAGAGGAAAGTTAGTAAATGTGATGTGAGCTAGTACAATAAAGCAGAGATCTTTACAACTTTTTTTTTTTTTTTTTTTTTTTTTTTTTTTTTTTTTTTTTTTTTTACAAACCTTAGTTCTTTGTGAGTTCAAACCTAGGGATAAAACATTGGGGTGATGGATATGTGTCATTTCTCCTATTGTGGATATGTTTGGTTAAGTAAAATATATTATTAAAATTAATTTCACCTATATCTTTTTACTTTGTAAATAAAGCTACTTGAACACTTAAAATTATATTTGTAGTTTGCATTATGTTTCCACAGGAAAGTACTACTCCAGATCATACAACGGTCAGATTTTCCTAATTGTCAATATACATTGAATTTCTACGTGTGATAGTTGGGGACCCTACTCTGCTCTGACAAGCCCCATGACTATGGGAGATCGTTTATCCCCTCTAGACCCCTCTTTTTTCATGTAAAAGATGAGAGCGTTGGACCCATCATGCTTTGTATGTATGCTGATGTTATGGCTTACATTCAAAAACAGGAAGATCCCAACACTCATGACTTGCACCCTAGACCAGTCTTCCATGCTTGCCAATCTGTGCCTGGCCTCCAGTTTTTATTCATGGGCTACATTCATCTTTTTTACTTGGCCCATATTGCTGTTCTTGGAGGGACCTCTGGCTTCTTTCCTCTATGCACATTCAACACATGATGTGGTTTATGGCCATTCCAGCATACACCTGATCCAGTGAACATTCCTGGCACGGACCCTTTGGGTCAGTGCCCTGGCAGCATCTGCTTGGTCCTGCTGCTCAGACCCAGCGTGTCTTTCCATCTTCAAAGACCTTAGATCCAGCTAAGCCAGGCATGTACAGGAAGCCGAGCTCTTTATCAGGAGACTCCAGTAATCTCAGAGCGAAGCCCATGCCAAAGACTATCATTTTAAACAGCTTCTTTCCTTCCAAAGTTTATTTGAAAGAGGCACTCTAAGGAAAAGCTCATTTCCTTAAAATATCAAGTAACTAAAAACCAAAAGATAATAGGTTTTTTTGGTTGTTTTTTTTTTTTTTTTTTTTTCTGGAGACAGACGGCAAAGTGCATAAATAAAATTCTGCAAAGTGTACAAATAAATAGTACAAAATAATCATTTTTGCTACAGTTATCCACCCCTCTCAGTACTACATTTAGCTAACTTAATTTTCCGTGACTCAAATTTATCCAGTATAATTTCTCTTAATAGGTCATCTGAGTAAACAGTTTCAAGTGTTATTTACCAAAAAACAATGTTTCCAGGCTTCAGATGGAATTGGCAGCTAGGCTAAGAAAACAACCTTCAAATTTCACAGAGGACAAGAAAAAATTGCAGAAAGATTGGAGTCCAGAGGTCAGCCTTTTTTCATGCTGTTCTTGAGGCAAAAATTACAAATTTCCACCAAAACCATGTCTTTAACAGCAAGGGAAGAATGCCATTTAAAATAAAAATCCAAACTGTACACAGCAACATGTCTTTAAAGTGGCACTATCACATGGAGAGTGTGTCATCTCAGTGCTGCCACATCAACTACAGAGAGCACTCCTACCTTATCTATTTTAAATCCTCACCCAAGGATATACTTTTTTAATTGGTTTTAGGAAGACAGGAAGTGAGAGAGAGAAAGAAACATCCATCAGTTGCCTCCTGTACATGCCCCAACTGGCGATGGAACTCACAACCTAGGTATATGACCCGACCTGGAACTGAGCCTGAGATGGTGCCACTTTAAAGAGGGAACCCTGCGTCCTGGCCATCCCCTGGCCGGGTGCTGGGACTCCTGGTTTTCAGAAGGAGATGGAAAGAAGGAGATGGAAATGAGGAGGCAAAGGCAGAGGTGGAGAAGGAAAGGGAAGGAGGGTGAGGAGTAGAGATAATAAAAGAAGGACTGTGGTATGGCATGGAAATGCAAAGACATTCTTAAGGGAAGTGGAGTGGGGGCATCTTGGGATGGGAGTTTTTTGACTGTTCTGGAAATTTCTTGCATAAGCAAATGTGTGTAATAGAAGGAATCGGAGAGATAAACCAGTTGCAGGTCTATTTCATAGCTGAGGAAATTGACATCTGAGGAGCAAACCAGCCCCATCTCCCAGAGAATACATTTCACCTACTCTAATGGCATCTAAAGCCAGGGATTCTATGAATAGTCTGAGAAGCCCTGTGACATTCCAAGTGGCACTAGGGGCACTTTGTGACAAGAGCCTAATTAACTCCTGTGACCTGGCACCATTACTCACTGGGTCACGGCAAAAGCTGGCACCCCAAGGACTCAGGTCCTGAGTAAACAGACACCCTTCATGCACTCAGGGCACCCTGATGCATCACCATCATGACTGCTCCGCTGACATCATCACAAAGAGGAAGAAGGTCCATCTAAAATCCACCTGACTCACTTCCTAGTCCCTACATTTAAGTCATTTGAGAGCAGACACCACTACATTCAACCAGTAGAAGTAATATTCATTACGTACAGGGCTGCTTTGGCCTCTCCAGGGAACCTGGGCAGCATGCTGAGAATGGGCCTCCCACTGGCCTATTCCAACTCCTCTCACCCTTTCATCAGTTAGAGGTAAAGAGGAGTAATATTAATAAATTTTGATTCTAAATCAAGATCTCACGAGTGCTTTGATTCTCAACTTTTTTCATAAAATATCCATTCTGTGAACATCGAGAAGCAGTCTTCTGGCAGTATTCTGGAAAGAAGACCAAGACAGTTGGTGGTGATGTGAGTCTGAGGCAATGTTTTGATCACATCCTTATAGAAACAGAGGATTCCTCAAAGGTGCCTTGAGTGAGATCTTCCAACCTGCCTGTGTTTGAAGGTGGTGCCTGGGCCTCTCTGCATACCTAGCTGACTGCCCAGACCTGGGCCACTGAGGAAGTGACCTGTTGACTGAACAGATGTGCAGTATCTGCCCATTCCCATGAGGAGGGGCTGGAGAATGTAACTTCATGACCTGCCTACAATGGAGGGAGGGGTGCCCCAAGCCCAGTGGAGTTCCTGAGTGAGCTCCTCCTGTGGAGCTACCAAACACAGAGCACTGAGCTGGTAATACTTTATTACTTCATTATCAATTCTCAGGGCAAATGTGAAAGATTAGAATAATTACTTAGTTTCACAGAGAAGCAAAAAAGGCTTAGAGAACCTGACCATTTGCCCAAAGCCCAAAGCTTCCAAGTTTCTAAGCCAGTATTCCCACTCAGGTGAGTGAAATCCCAAGACCCAGATTAGAGATGGGGCAATCAAATTTACACATTCACCCTACATCCTTGAACTAGAAAGACAAGAGACAAATGGACCTTCTAGACCAGTTTATCTAATAGACAATGGAAATGCTCTATGATTGGTGCTGTTCAAATGGTAGCCACAAGTCCCAAACAACTCTTGAATATTTGATGTGTGGCTAGAGAATCTGGATTTTTTTATTGTATGTAATTTGAATTCATTTTAATTAAGTCACCATTGAATGTCCATATTAAACAGTGCAGTGAGGGACATTTTACATTAAAGCAAATAAACATTCAAAAGCAAAATGGTCACAACGATCTGGGTTGGTCAGAGCAGCTTAGTAAAAGAGAGAGGCTCTGAGCAGGCCCTGGATATGTTAGGGATTGAACAAGACCCTCCCTGGTTCAAGCATGATTGCCTTCCCTACAAAATCTGGTTTAGAGTCAAGGACCCAAGAAATCAAGTCCAGTTCCCATAGTCTGCAGATGCGGACATCAAGGATGTGCCTGCTGGGTCCTTGTTCTTCGTGGACCAGCTCTACACAACATGATGAGTTCTCATTTACTCCCCCCGTTGCCTTCCTAAAGCCTTTCCTATCCTCCATTTCCCTCTCCTCCCAGCCCCCACTCCTACCAACACCAGCAGATGCTGGGCTCATGCTCTGTATAAAAACCTCTGTCGCCGTGGCTTTTAAGTGCATTATTCTTCTATAGCTGTCACCTTGAAGAAGGCATTTCTTGATACGGTGAGCAATGATACTCACAGAGAAACCACTTCATCTCCCTAAACCACAGTTCCTACACCAGCAAACCGAAGCAAGCCCTCCATCACACTGGCCAGGGCATAGCTGAACCCAACATCCTGAGTCTAGTCACCATGTCACGTCTGACTCCATTATTTCCCATAACAAGGGTGATGACTGGGCTCCCTATCACTGCAGTTCCCATGACTTTCACTTACCTTTTCTTCAGCTGCCCTAAGAAAAGAATGCAGAGGTACAAACACACCTGCATAGTTGCCTGGGGTCTCATCTTTGAGTTTCTTAGACATTTGCCCTAAATGTCCTTAAAGTCTCTCTAGATTAGAATTTAAAGAAAAAACATGGCATCCAGCTCTTCCTTAGCCAAAATCAGAGAAAACAGCAGCCACTGCCCAAAGTGCAGCTGTCAAGTTACCTGGTTCAGTGCAGTTCTTGCTGCTCCGAAGGTCTGTGTCTTCTGAAGTCAAAGTGTCATTCACCTGCATTAACTTCCTCCCCAACGTCCACTGTCGGTCTTCCCCTATGAGATCCATGAAGTCAAGGTCTGGGGAGAAAAAGATAATAACCACATATCACTAATTTGCCTTTACTCATCTGGGTGCTCAGTGTCCTAATCAGCCATTACCTATACTTCCTGTACCCCCATAGGCCTTGCTGTTATACTTTCTCTGGTACTGGATTCTACTGGGCCTCAAGGGTAGCCCTCAGCCAGTAACTGGTAGGAAGTATTATATTAATACCTCACTGCTCCAGTGGGATGAGTTTGAGGTGTATATTCTAACCTGAATTCCAGAGTTTTCTTCACTGGGATCCCACTCTAGTTGTTTACAGCGTAAGTCTCATGATAAAATACACTTTATCGACTCTGCCCTTCCCTGTTTTAATTCTCTGCTCCCAAAACAATGCTGAGAAATGTTTAGCAAGTAATTCTGGGGGTAAAAAATGGGGAGTCTTTGTTTGTGGCCATGGGCCAATTTCTGTGGTATAAATAGTCCCATTATGGCCTATTTCAAGCTACCAACATGGCCTCCCTAGACATGAATTTAGGAAGAGATGGACACAGTTAGGTCCACTAAGTCAATATAATTAGCTCTAGCCCACCAGAATTTACTCTCCTACCAGCATTTCTTGAACTACCTCCCAAAAAAAACTTCCTGCAATTGAACACTTGATCAGGATCCACTTCTGAAGGGTTATCCAGCTAAGACACCGTTTTAACATCTAAGAGCCTAGGCCTTGAATACCACATAGCAAGAGTTCCATAAACAAGAGATGAAGGCAGGAATGAGGAAAAGCAAAACACTGAATATGTGAAGGGGATACGCATTGAACAGTGCTGAGATGACTCGGGGGATGGAAGTGCCAGGAAACAGAACAGAGACTATAAAGTACATGAGAGGGAGAATGCAGTGAGTTCTCTGTTAAAGACAAGTTGAATCTAAATTGCATGTGGAGCTTTGCAAGGGAGGCTTGCTGCCTATGTGAACATGGGTGCAAATGCCTCTGGGGACAGAGAGGATCAGGAGAGTCATAAGCAAACAGGGGACAGTATGAGACATCTATGAATGGGGTCTCCCAGAGAAGGAGGGGAAGGAACTAAAGAAAAGGGAATAGAACAAGAAATTATGGGGAACTCAAGATTCTTTCAGAGAGCAAGTATAGAAAAAAAAAAAAGTCATCAAATGGTCAAGAATGGAAGGAAAAGGAGCAAGGAAAATGGTGCCACAGAGGGAGAGCAGACAGAGAATTCCAAAACAGAAAGAGGTGCCAATAGCCTTGACAACTATGGACAAATCAAGGAAGACAGAGGCAAAGAAACAACAAAGCTGGACATCAGGGGATCACTGGAAGATGGAAGCAGCAAGCCAAGGTGATTCTTTCTAGTGGGTTGGCAATAAATCAAGATGTGACATGACACAATGGCAATCTCTTGAGTTCCAGAGTTGCAGAGGTCAGAAAATGGATTTAAATATAAGACAAAGGCCTAATGTGCAATGGTCTTCACAAAAGACTGGAGGGTACACCCCATCCAGCCACACCAATGTGGTGTTCTGAAACAGTCAATGAAAAGCTGAAGGTAATCATACACATTGCTCTATTTCCATGGTGGTTCAGTTTCCTAAATAATTTCACCTTCAATATTGAATTTCTACTTCATGACATCATCTGGGAAAGAAAGGGGGAGCGCAAATATTGTCTATTATACTTTGTCCACTGTTGTTCCTCCAACACCTGAATAATTATTCCCATTTTGTGGATGGATCAAGTAAGGCTCACAGAAGTTTCTGAAAAATCACAATGCTTGTGGACATCTCCCCTAAACCAACAAGACACAAAAATGTCAGCCACTCATGCATTAAGGTTTTCCACAGTCCAAGGGAGACTGTTCACAGACGTAAAATTATCAAGATATCCAATTAAACCTTATGCATGTTGGCCAGCCCTGATGTATGTTCTTAAAAAAAAAAAAAGTAGACTGTGGAACTTAACTAATATCACTACACAAAGTGATAACTTTAGACTCAGAAATATAAAACCTACATGGTAGCCACATATATCAGTTTTGCCAAAAACGTGAGGATAATACCAAAGATAATTCAAGGATAAAGCAGGCACTTGTGTAGTCTGGTTAACCTGACAGTTAATTCTTATGATTAAGACTGTTGACAAGCACAGGAAAACTTTTCAAAATTTCACCAACAAACAATAAGGCCAGTGGCCTTAAAATCCAACAAGCAGCCCTACAATGTGAACTGAATACCATAATGTCATAAATAATCTGAAAGTGTGGAGAAAGACATCCCATTTGTCTGAGGCCAGGTTTTCACAGAAGCAGTCCCTGAGGCAAAAATTCAAGTCAAGATGGTTTATAGAGGGTGGGGAGAGGGGTGATCTACGAATAGGGAAATGGGACAGAGAAAGGGAGCCAGCCAACAGAGGGTGCCTATCAGGTGCTTTGCCAAAATGAATCAACTAGAGTTTGAACCCTCTGGAAAGCTGTGGGGGCCAATGTAGGCAGGTATCTCAGACACCCCAGGGGTGAGGGAGCTTACGTATTTATCTACCTACTCCTGTCTGCTGTTGGCCGAAAACTGTTCCCAGGGACACACATTCCCTGGCACTTCCAACCTGCCACATGTCCAAGGGAAGTTTTGGTGCCCAGAAAAAGGCCCTGGACAATGAGATACAGGTGCTAACAGTTGAACAGTGCCAGTGTGCACTGAAGAGGTAAGAACAAAGTGATGTGGGCAGGGCACCAAAGGCATCTGCCAGCCTGCCTGAGATTCAAAGGCAGAGCTGTGCTATGGGCCAACAGACTGGCCATTCTGCTGTGCTCATAATCTGGGTCAAAGAAAAGCGCCTGGTGACACAGCAATGCAAAGATTTGCAAAGAAGCAACAGTGTCCCTTCCAATGACTTCCAAAGTCCTTTCCTAGGCCAAGTTTCCATGGTTCTGTAATTGTGAGAGAAAAGCTGATACCAATTAAGACATGTATAAATAAAGCCAGCTATTGTAGCAGAAAATTAGAGGATTTTTTTTTTTTTACATAATGATTCAATATCTTCAGGAATTAGAGACTATTAAAGCAGTACCTCTGGATTCCAAAACCTACAAACTTTTATCTCAACAAAAATATCTTTTACAGTTGACCACTAATGCAGAGATCAGAGTCTGAGAAAATGAGAATGATGAAAACTAAGCACTGCATTCGCTTCCCACTGAGCCAAGTGGGACAATATTATATCCCATTTCATTTACCTCCAAACTGAAGCACAGAGAGGCTAAAAAAAAAAAAAAAAAAAAAAAACTCGACCAAGGTCACACAGGAAACACAAAAGGGCAGGATGGGATTTGAACCCAGGTCTGGTAGATCCTGAAAAGGACAGAATTCAATGGGTTGCATCATTCAGCCACAGAAAGACAGAGCAATGCATCCTGCGCCTTATAACAGGTTAGGGTGAGGACAGTCTTACTGGACTTACTTTCAAGAAATCTGTTTCCTCAGACACTATTAGGAACACAACCAAGCATGATGCTGCCCCGTGAAAGCATCTCAAAGAACAAAGAAAATGGTTCTGAAACACCACTGGACACATAATGCTCCTCTGAGTGTGGATTTCCTAGAGACAAAGCTAGTCCCATTGGTCATGACACGAGGGCTGTATTCTTGGATTCAGGGAAGTGGGGCAGAGGGTGGGCAGTGAGGAAAGCAGAAAAGATTGGGAGAGGTGGCCACACTTGGTTTTTCCACTGCTTTCCCCTCATCATCTCCTGCTTCCTCGGACTTTCTCCGCGATGGCAGACTGCTTCACAAAGCTACACTTGAGCAATGTCAACAAAAACACTTGGCCCCTGTCCACTGCATTCTTGGCTCCTCATGTGCCGGGCCCTGGAAGTGCATGTTGGCCTAATTAGCCAGGGTGTTTGGGGGGAGGGTAGGGGGGAGGTAGGGGGCATAAAGAGGGAAGCAGCAGGCTCACGTGTTCCGTGCCCCACACTAGTGAGCAGAGGCAGCCTGTGGGACTGCAGTCTCAGAGGGGGCAGGGTGGGGCAGAAGTAGGCTGTGGAGCTAGCACAGGGTGCCTGCTAGAAGGGGAAGAAGTTCTCAACCTGAGACTTGAGCCACATGCTAAGGAAGGAAAGAGAGTGGAGGCTGGGAGCCAAGTTTCCATTACAGAGCTGTGTGCTCACCCTCTTCTGCTCTCTCTTTCCCCTCCTCCCTCATTCTCTGCCCCACCCTTCCCCCCGCCCCCCAATTCTCTGTGGAACTGGGGCTTGGAAAACCCATGGATTTCTGGCACTAAGAATGGATTTCCTTGAGTGTCCAAGGCCCCCGCCTTCACCCTAAGACTTTCTCCTCTGTGCACCCCTATCCCCCAGGCTTCCATCCTTCCCGCGTGCCAGCCCCACGTCCAATAGAGAGGAGGGGCTGCCTGCTCTCTGAGGAGGAATTAACTCCTTCACACACGTGGACAGACAGCTGATGGACAGATTTACTACCGTGTCACCCTAATTACATTGCATGCCTCTCTCCTCTGTGTCCAGTAGCCTGCCTGCACCGTCCACTCCCTGCTCTCACAGAGTGTTTGGGCCATCTTACTGCCACTGCTGACGGGGTTAAGTGGCTGAGCTGGGACTCCAGCCCAGGTATGCACATCACACCTTGTCCTGGAGCTCTGGGAGCCCAGGAAAGAGGCGTCCTGGGGTCAGCAGCCTCGCTGTGAGAGGTACTGTTAACTGTCCCCTCCCTGAGAATTGGAATTCTGCATTTCTTCTCAAACCTTGGGGCGGCAGGCACCACCCCTCTAAAACATCCCGAGGACCAGGACAACAGGCCCCACTTGCAGATGAGGAAACCAAGTCTCACATGCCTAATGCAGCACGTTAACGCCACAAAAGCCTGAGCCCGTGGAGGCAGTCACTGACTTTGGCTCCGAGGCAGGCTCAGCCACCGAGGCTAAAAATACCCCGCTCTGTGGTTTACACAGCTGTCTCCACTCCGTGCACCCTGGGCCTCACCCCGGGGTCGGTGGTCCGTTTTG